TGGACCTCAGACTTTACAGTGAGCCTGACATCTTCGTAGGTCCATCTTCTGTTTTGGTATTTCTTTGAACTTTTATTTTGTGCTCATGTAGATAGCTCTGACTGATGCGTCGCCTGTTACTGCCACCTTTTTATGCATCAACGTTCAAGTATCCATTGGTGTTGCACCAGTGTTTACAGAGACAAGAGTTTACAACAGAGCAATGTTTGTTTTTCTCTCCATAAAAAATATGTTTATTAAATACTGTATCTGGAATAACGAGCTACATATGAACCACTCACAGTGTAGAATAGCAAAATGATTTTGCTATTTAGATTCAAAGGAGCAGTGTGTAGAATTTAGTGGCATCTAATGGTGAGAACTGCAGATTGCAACCAGTATGCCAAGCGTGGACTCTTGGTTAGAATTCCTCCAGTGTTTATTGTTCAGGAGGTTTTTATCATGAGCCAAATTGTCCTCTGAGGTCTCTTCCTCTCCAAAACAAACAGATTTGGTGATTTAAACTGGTAAAAACACAGAATAAAGCAGCTTCACCTTACAAATGAGTGTTTATCAAGTGTTGTTTGGCCTGTTGCAGACATGCCCCTAGCCTAGCACCTGATAATGTGTGCTCACCTTTTTTCTGTGATAACTTAAGATCCAGACGTTCTTGAGGTTTTCAGCGGGAGCCGAATTATCCACAGAGGTCTCCTCTCCAAAACAAACAGACCCATTGATTTAAACAGGTGAAAACACTGAATAAAGCAGCTTCACGTTAAAATTCAGTGTTTTTCCAATGCTGTTTGGCTCATCGTGGAGGGGTTGCTAACTACAGTGCCTGATATGAAAACAAAAAAGGTCCTGTCTAGAGCAAAAGTTTAGTTTGTCCGTTCTGGGCTACTGTAGAAACATGGCAGTGCAGTATGGTGATATCTGTGGATGAGGACCCACTCCCTATGTAGATATTAACGGCTTATTTTAACATAACAAAAACACAAAGATTCTTATTTCCAGGTGATTATACACTAAAGAAAACATACTTATTATATTATATTCCATTACTGCCAATATATCCTCCTAAATCCTACACACTGGACCTTTAACAGTGAATCAGTAGTGTAATTTCAATACTATGACCATAATATATTCTGTTTCATGAGGTTTTGAAGTTATATGAATTATATTTCCTCTAGACTTCATTCATATGCATTTCTAGGCCCTGAAAGCACTTTTTTTTATTTAATTTACAGACTTCATTTTGCAGAAATTCCCCTTCCTCTTTACTTGCTACAAGCAGCTACATGCCATCAGATGTTTTTTGTTTTTTTTTAACAGAATAGGTACTATCTAGATTTTATTGAATTTAGTTTTATAGTAAATCTGTCATCAGCACTGAATATTCTTCTCTCCTCTAGTGTTAAATCAACAGTTTGAACCACAAAACCAAAGTTCAAATTAGCCATAAATGAGGGAATACTTGGACATTTTATCCTTCTTACTGTTGAGACACATCCTCTCCCTTTGTTTTTCAAAATACTGCATCGGGGTACGATTTGCATCATATATATATAAACTACGAACGTGTCAATGCATTGTTTACATGGAACATAATTACAGAAATTCTTGCAGCATAACTTAAAAGAGATGTGACTGACATATCCTATTCACTACCTGGGGAATCTCTTTTTCTGCATGATGCTGAATTTCAAAAATATATCAGAAAATACCTTGACATAGTGTATTTTGCTTTAAATTAAGTATTTAGTTTGCCTTGTTTTATAAATCTGCTGTCAAGCACTATTTTGTAGTGAATATTACTCTATACATCTTGTCTGAGAAATGACATAGACATACAGTAAGAAATAACATAGATACAAATACTGTACAGTCAGGCTATACATATATATATATAGATATATGTAGACACCACATGTTAAAACACAAACTCAATCAGGAAGAAGAAACGGAGTCAGTCGTGTACAGTCACTCAGTGGGTTACCCACATCTATGAATCCTTTTGTGTGCATTTTGAGGACAGCCCGCTGCTGGTTCAAGCCTCATACAATGGCAGCTAAATTGTTATACGATGTATTTTGTTTCTGAGTACTATTCCAAACACTGCACATGCATTTTACTGCCGTGAAGGGGTGCACTATGCTCCCATAGTACACTCGCAGCAACAGGAAACATTATGCTCATAGAATATGCAAAATCTAGCATTCTGCAGCACAGCTTGGCAAGTTTTTTGAGCTAACCCTTTAAAAATTACTGGTTCAAACCTTGTTCTTCAAATTGTGTGTTTTCTATTTTAACTGTCGAATCGGACCAAAAGAATCCAAGTTGGCTGTAAATGTGCGCTCTATTAAAGATGAAATACGCTTCTGTTTGAACTGTACCTGATGTATTTTTCTCGTGTGAAGGCTTCTGTCTTTGTATCTTTGCATTATTATTTGTAAATGAAATGAAAATAAATATATCTGACGAAGCAAAGACGTGTCTGTCGTCTTGTTTTTGTCATTAGGTGGACTGCAAGAAGAGCACTAGAAGACAGCGAACTAAAGCAGTAGTTACATGATGATTACAGCCCCCATAACTGGCATAACTTAGACTTTCTCACCCACTCTGCAGCTTCACGCCCAGCACTTGCCCTGCCTTCTCCCACTCTGTCCACACTAACAATTTTAATGAGTTGACACTGGACATTTTGCATGTGGGATGGGTATGACAAAAGTAACGACCAAGATGACTGCTGGTAAGATTTCTGTCTTTTCTACATTGGGTAAAGTTCATAATTATGCTGTAAAAAAATGATCATTTACCGTCAAATACTATGGCCAGCAATAAGCAATAATCTATTACAACAAAAGAACCCCCATATGTCTCTCCTCTTTCTGCTTTCCTAATACTCATATGGACAATGACTTTTAACTCAGCCAATGATATAAAAGATGCATTTTTCTGTTTTAAGCCACTTGATAATCCTAGAAAACAAACATACATATGCAATAAAACTAAGCACGACTGACCCCTGAAGGAACTCCCTGCAGTTCAGTGGCTCAAATTTGAAGGCCAGCTTCCGGGGCTTCATCACTGATGCCCTCAAATGGCTCAATAGTGTTCTACAACCTATCTGCTCCAGTCATGCCTCATCTCCTCTTGTAGTTGTGCCCTCTTTTGGAAACTGAAGGACTCCATCTGCTGGTGGAATGCTGCAATATAAAGTCATCAATACTGAGGTCAAGTGTGTAGGCTATAAAGGAATATATTGATATAAGGTAGGTTTTCTCGGCTGTATAATCACCTCAAATAGGAATCATTGTGTTTTTGTTAGGTTAGAATGAGCCATTTATATCTACATAAGAGTGGACACTCGTCCACAGTAGCCTGAATGGACAAACCAAATGCTGGCTCTAGATTGGGTCATTTGCATTTTACGTAGGCCATCATAGTTAGCAGCCCCTCTGCAACAAGAGCATCTTAAAAACACTTATTTTGTTAACATGACACTGCTTTATTCAGTGTTTTTACCGGTTTAAATCACCAGGTCCATTTGTTTTGGAAGAAACCTAAACAAACTCCCTATATTAGGTGAGAATATTTTTTAGCCATTGAGTTCCCCAGCAGAAGCTAGTTTGGAGTTTTTTGTCGTATTGGTCACGGTAATTTGCTCCCTCAACATCAGGTTGCGTTGTCAATGTGCTAACCGGCCAACCACCATCTTAAATCTGTCCTGCTAGTGTTATGGTTTCCCTTTTTGAATGATGACCACAGCTTTATTCTGCATTTTTACCACTTTTAATCACTGTGTCTGTTTGTTTTTGTTTCTGCTGATAATTCAGCTCCCCATAAAAACCCCCTGAACAGTGAACACAGAAGGAATTCTAACCAGGAGAAGTTTCAACTGGTTGCAATCTGCAATCCTCACTGCTAGATGCCATTAAATCCCCCTAAATCTCCCACAGTGGACCTTTAACTTGCATTTTGTGGTAGAAAGCATCCATATCACACTTTTAGCTGAATGTCTGCATAAGAAGTGACTTTTGGTATTGCAAGCTGTGTGTGGGAGTGTGTGGTTACAGATACAGAACAATTGAAAAAAACTTTTTTGTCAAAGTTGGTCCAAAAACTGATGTGAATCTCTCCTCTAGGAAGAAGGAAAGTCAAACCTGTCGGCCTCTAACTGGTAAATGATTCACATCTTTTAATATTTTGCCTTGTTCTATTGGTTTATATTGTATTTTGTACTGTGCAGTGTGGCCATACAGCCTCTATTATGTTAGGCACATAGATTTACTATTGTCTGCATCGCACCTTGAATTTTATTTTTATTTCTTGAGTCTACTTGTTATGTGAAAGACTACAGATGGAAATGAGAGTTTCGCTAAATCTGGTGCAACCATGTTTTCATTTCTTGTAGATGATTAATGTCACTGCACGTCTTATAAATCAAATAAACTGAACTTGAGTTATGCATGTGGCTTCTGTGTTTTCTATTCTTTTTGTCCAGGGTTCAGTTTAGAGCTGGAACAATTAGTGTAGTCATTGATTGGTTAATTGACAGAAATGAATCACCAATAATTGTGATTACATACTGAGGACTTGTTTAAGTTGTTTATTGTGCAAAAATGTCAAACATGATTTGGTTCCAGCTTCTTAAATGAGATGATTTGCTGCTTTTTTTTCTGATTTATATAATTGTAAATTGAACATATTTGGGTTTTGGGCTGTTGGTCAGACAAATTGAGTGATTTAAAATGATCACTTTGGGCTTTGGGAAACTGTGATTGGCTATTCTCATCACATTTGACCTTTTATAGACTAAGTAATGATGGATTAGTTTAAAAAACGAGCAATTAATTGGTGATGGATCTTTTTAAATTAACCTAAGATCCTCATTTGGGATTAGAAGCAGTGGAGTACATCAAAGGGTATACCCAGGAGTGTAGGTGGACGGCAGGGATGTTTACTTGGTGACGTGCAGACGTCAAAGCGCATCCACCGTATCCCAGCATGCAGCAGGAGGCCGTTGAGAGATCCAGCAGCTGGTAGTGAGTTGCGAGAGCGCCCAGCAGGCAGCAGCCGACGGTCAACACAGCACACACATTTCCCACTCCATGTGAGAAAAACTGAGCCGTCTACCTTACAGGCGACAGAAGAATATGCTGTTCGGACGCCTGACGTGTCACCGCATCGGCCTTTGAGTCATCATTGTCACCCGGTTTTCATTTTGGAGGATTCCTCCCTTCATCCTCCGGATCGCACCGAACAGGCAATGACAACGGTCTTAGCAACCCCGCAGCAGATGAGGGACCGGCTGCTGCAGGCCATCGACTGTCGCAGCAATGTGAGTAGAGCTAGCAGGCTAGGTGGCTAACGTTAGCTTGTTTACCTGCACTCCGGCAAACTCAACAAGGCAGTTCACACAACAGCTGTCAAATAACTGCTTCACTGATTTATAAAATGCGTGGTTTACAATGTGGGCTGCCACCGACATGTCGAATGACTGCGAAAGACGGAGAGACGTTGAGTTCTTGATTTGACAGCTTGCAAGCTAACTTAGCAGAAGCGCTACCTCGGTTGAACCCCAATCTGGCGTTAGCTTGTTCATTTAGCATGCTAGCTGCTAGCCTAGCTTCAACACCAGAGCGGGTTTAGAGTACTTAAGGGCTTGAAGGAATCCATAGCATACACATACCCCTGATATACACATTTAACTCCAAAACTATCTGTATGTTTTACTAGTTGGCCCGAGGTTGGTTGTAGACCCTTCCGATAATTCCTTGTTACCGAAGTGTGGGAGGTAGCTAGCTAACTCTTAGCTACGTTTTAGGAAATAGTCGGACCCTTCCCTCTCAAGTTAGTTAACGCTAGCGTTAGCCAAATTAGCTAACACAGGTAACGCTAAGTCTGCCGACACTCAAACGTTGCTTGACTTGCTCGACAGGATAAGAAACTAGCTCAGATTAATAATTATTACTTTTATCTTCTAGTTTTTGCCCCATTACTATAGTTGAGCTAAAATGTTTGCAACAGTGAAGGTTTTTTGAGTTGACACTTCGCCATGGCTACTTTTCAACGTCGTTATGTCGATGTGAAACAGACAGACAAGCTAATGTTTCCAAGCTAACTTACAAGCTAACTTGCCCCCATACTCACACACGTTGCAGGCACGATTCAACAGCGATTTTAACCATAACATTAATATAGGAAATTTGGTTATCAGTCATTTACATCTCATAGAATTCATATTTTTTACAATTATATTATCACATTTATACCCAGACTATGACTCAGATTTTCATTTAACAGGGACTTCCTCTGTCACTGGTGATATTAAACTACTACTAAATATTTGCTTTGTGCAATCACCAGTGCAGGTGGAGTAATACAAAATGTTTGCCTTCTTTGCAGATATGCAATATGGTGATTGTATTGGAGGTAATTTCCTGTCTTGAACAGTATCCTATCACCAAAGAAGCACTTGAGGTAAGACAGTTGACTATATGTGAACTACTGTTTCATGTGGAAATTGTGCTCATTTATTTATTTCTAACTATGACACATTATTTATGTAGGAAACTCGACTAGGAAAACTTATCAATGACGTCAGGAAAAAGACCAAGGATGAAGACCTCGCCAAGCGTGCTAAGAAACTCTTGAGGGCCTGGCAAAAGCTGATTGAGCCTGGGCCAGCTGTGGCTGCAAGCACACCAGGGTCCACCAATGGCAGTTCCCACCCCTGCAGAACAGATGCCGCCCCTCCTGACATTTCCGTGTCAGGGAAGGGTGTCCCTGAAGTCAAAATCAGAAACGATGTACACAACACATACTCACCAAAAGCCGAGAAGTCAAGCAGCCGCAAACGCCGAGCAGAGCACAGAGACAGTGGAGTGCACTTACCAGAAAAAATCTCCAAGATGTCTTCGTTTGATAACTCTGTTTCACCGCCACCCACCAACGGGATCGCAGGCAGTCCTGATACCCTGCCTGACCAGCCAGTTGTCCCGTCTCCCGACAGATCTCGGATAGAGCACCTTGATAATGATAAAATCAACAGAATTCCGGTTAATGCTGTCAAGCCTCGCCCCAGCTCCCCAGGAGTGGCCAAACTACCTAGCACTTCCTCTATGATCAAGGTTGCTGTGATGCAGCAACAGGCTAGATTGGACGAAGGAGGAGGGGGGTATTATCAAACTAGGAGTCCCCGTGGCCTCACTTCTAGTCCAAGGAGCATGAAGCAAGACACAGTGACCAAGCGCTCTTCATATGCACCTAAAGGAACACCTGTTCCAAGCCCCTCTTCTAGGGACTCTCCCTTGTCCATATCCCAGCCCGTATCCTCCCCAGCCAACACATCTTACGCTGACAAGCTGCCACATTCTTCTCATAGGTCTTCAATGCACTGGGCCAGTTCGTCAGAAGCCCCTTCTCATTGCCCACCACAAGACATATCTGCAACACTGGAATCCCCATCAGTCTCCCCTTCACCCTCCCACCTCCAACACAACTCAGAACTACACAGACCGACATCTGAGGGAGCCATGTCTGTGTCTGATGACACAGACGGGGCAACGGTTCCCAACTCGGAGCATAAAAGGCGGAAGTACAGGTCAAGAGACTACTCTGTCAACCTAGATGGCCAGAAAATAGAGGACACGACTAAACCTGTACGGTTAAAAGAACGCAGATTAACATTTGACCCCGTCACAGGTCAGATCAAACCTCTGGTACATAAAGAACCCTCTCTAACAGAGGAAGCCCCCACTCCTGACCCTGCTGAGTTAAGGCAGAGAACTGAAAGCACTGTACAACAGCCCGCTGTCCTCACCCCGGTCACAGTCCCTGTCCCAGCCCTGGCCCCGGCCACAACCACAACCCCAACCCCAGGTCCCAGCCCTAACCCTTTCCATCAAACAAACTGGAAGGAGCTGTCCAGAAATGAAATCATCCAGTCCTACTTGAACCTTCAGAGTAATGTGCTCACCTCCTCTGGGGTCCAGGCCCCTAGTGCGCACTATTTTATGACAGAGTATCTGAAAAGGGAAGAACAGGAGGTCAAGGATTCACGGAAGATACATGTTCTGCAGACGGACAGCTCAGTAGGGGATTTACCGGGCGTGAGCCGGGACGTGACGGACGATGACCTGGGCAGGATACACACACAGCACTGGCCGGGGGTGAACGGTTGTTATGACACCAAGGGCACCTGGTATGATTGGACAGAGTGCATATCATTGGACCCTCATGGGGATGAAAGCAAATTGAACATCCTGCCATATGTTTGCCTAGACTGAGGGGTTTGGGAACGTTGCTGTCCTTTTTCCACTCCTTTCTTTGTCTCGCCACAGAGACGAGACACTTTGTGATTTTGTTTGTCCACTGTGAGTTCGGCAAAAGCCAGGCCTGCTAAACTCCCTCCCCCATGCCTCTTCCTCTTTCTGTGATAATCTAATGAGATTTTGGTATTAAAAAAGAGTAAAGATTTAAAGAATAGTTGAGTTTGTAATACCAAGGGCTGTTTCTGTTTTATTTTTCAAACTGAAAGCCACAGGAATGATGAGGCCCTCGTTGCAGAGTGCTGCTACTAACACTGAAGGAAAGAAGGAGGGGACAGCATTATCCCAGACAGCCGGAAATGGTGTTATGATGTGAATATTTGATGTTCTGAATTGTACCTCTGTTTCAGGCTCACTGAGATGGTACTGTTCTCTTTTTTTTACCTTCTAGTTTCTAATGAGGAATTACATTCTAGGATTAAATTTGAGGGAAGGCCGGGGTTTAGCTGTCCTGTCCAGACTGCCATGTTGGTGCCCAGAAAAGGTGTTGATAGAGTTCATCTAGCACAGATAGAGCTGAACATGTCCAGAGTATGATATACTGGATCATATTTGGCAGTTACAAGAAGCTTTATGTGAGATATAAAGAGTAAATTATAAATTTCTTATCATGTATACATCTATTTATTTTGACCAGTTCATTTATGGGAAGTTCACCTGAACAGACATTAAGAAACTATAATAGACCTGGTTTTGTTTTCTTTGTTAATTTTTTTTTTCCTGTTTGCATCACAATGCTGTCAGCCTAATCTTCAATGTTAAAGGGGCATACGCATGTTTTTTTTTTTTTTGCATGGTCTTTCTTTAAGACAGACCAATGCATATGGTCATAAACATTCCATACTCCACCCCGCACCCACTTTCACGCTCTCTGTCTCATCACACAGTTCCCGTATGCCCACCTCAACCCTCAAGAAGAAGTTAATTCTGGTTTCAAAATGGTGTCGTCAAAAGTAGTGTGGTGCTAATTAAAAAAATTAATTCAGCTAAAGTGGAAAAAACTCACGCCTCACTAATTCTCTCCCAAGCTTAAAAAAGTAACGAATGTCAAATCAGATGGTGCTGATCAATGTTTGCATTATTTGAAAGTCTCATTTTGTTTCCTTTAGATAGCGTTTGCCTTCTGGAGGTCCATCACAATATTTCCTGAGTTAAACAGCCTTAGTGAATGTAAAGGATTGAGACTTGTTACGCACTTCTTCATAAGTTGACATCTTGTTGGTCATTTCATCACTGACATAATTCAAACGGGAATAGTGACTGATGCTCCCACAATCTGTGTGCCCGCAGTTTATTCAGACTTAAAGCCCCTGCCTATGTGTTTACAGATATTTTTGAAAATGGATATTTTTCCCTATCATTCCACACGACCTTTGTTTTATAAAGTACCTCTGTCCACACTAGAACACAAAAATGACTCCACACTTGCCGCTGTTCGCTGTCTTCAGCAGTCTACCTCGTCACGAAGGTAGCGGAGTGTGTACAAGCTAACGTTACCTTTTTCAAAAACCTGCTGAAGAACACATCAGCGTGGATTTCCATTCAATTTAAGCTTACTAAACATACAAATGATTCTCTGGACGTGCAAAAGTTTACCTCCCAATCCTCGTCAACAACAATCCCACTCTGGAAAGTGACCAGGCTCGGTACAAAACCTTCATTTCTGGAGGACTTTAAACCACGGATGCCGAGATGGACTGAACACATTGGGTACAGCAGCTGCTTCCGTTCGTCCATTGAGTGCGGCAATACTAACTTTAAGTGTAAATTAGTCATAAGACCAAGCACTGCTATCAGAACGTTAGCAAACTGGTAGTCAGCCATCATTGTCGTTTTTAGTTTATGCTGATTACACCAAGCAAAAACTGCGCCTTAGAAGAAATCTGTGTCTTAATAACCTGTGACTGTGTGTGGACAAGAGACCAAACTGTAGAGGAAAGCATCCATTTATGAAAATATCTGTATGTATAGACAGGGCCGAAGACGCATTCACAGCTTTTGCAGCTGATTTCGAGAGTTTCGTAAACATTTATTTGAGGATCATGTCTTTCTGCTTCCATTTTTCAATACAGCAAACATAAAAGGTCGAGAGAGAAAGCTGTGTGCATCAGATATTCTTGGCATTTTCCACATGACAGCTAAAAGTTGATTTTCCCCTCTACACTCATCAGTCACTACCACTTCTTTTCCTCATATGACTTAAATTAAGATTGGCTTCTGCGCAGCCTCTGTCCATTCATCCTTTCAGTCCTTCATCCCTACCAATGTGCCTTGGTAAATGGTAAATCTGGATTTGCTGTCGCATATGAAACGCATCTGTCCGGAGCTGGGTTTGTGTGCGAGAGCTGCAAATCCCTTGATCAATACGACGCTGGTATATGCACCGTTTTCTGTTACTTTTTTTGTATACACTGATCTAGAGAGAGGGTGAAGCTGCAGACAATGAGAAACTGCACAACAACACAGCTGGCAATAAAGGAAAAAGTGCTACAACTGGTTGATAAGAATCTGTTTTCTGGAGTTTTGACTGGGGCATCTTTATTTGTTCAGTGTTTAACATCTCTCAATTGTTTGAAAAATAAAAATGATCTAAATCTTCAGCTCAGTCGACTGACTCGTGGGTCTTTTGCGGTGCTTTAGTGTTCAACAAGCTTGGTTATGTTTGCCCTGTTGGAACTAAATGGTCGGTCTGAGCTCTGAATACTTCTGCCCTTTGTTGTGAGTGTCACTGTTGAAGTTGCATTATGCTGTCATTTGTTGTACTTGCACAGTTCATCCATGTGGGGGTGCACATTGTCCACTTGTCTCCTTTGTGTGACTCACTGTGGGATTGTACGAGGTATTTTATTTCAGTGGGAATCAATTGATAAGACTTTTTTTCAAAGGCCCACAAAAGAAAATATGACCCTTTATTTTAAATAAAATCAGATTTAGATCGTCCACCATCAGAGGAAGTGTGACACCCTTAACACCAACTGTAACGAAATGTTCTCGTGTGTACTACGGTGATATTTTTATTAGCATATGGGTCCCTACATGTCTGACAGACGCAGAGGTTCCATGACTACGTCACTCCCCTCTGTGACTCAGAGAGCTGATGTAATCTCATCACGGTTATCAGGCTGAGTAACGGCCGCCCCCTCGGGTCGTGTTTACTCTCAGACTCTGAATCAGTCCCCCTGCACACCTGTATGATGTCATCACCTGCTGTATCAGAAATACAACTGTGTTTATGACCACAGACTGAGCAGAGACACCTGGGCTTACATCATTATTAGTCTGCAGGATGTTGCACCTTGTCAGGTGACATTACTTCAGGTTGAAGTTGTGCAATTCACTGCAATATGCAGATGTGGTTGGTTGATATTAGGGCTTATTGTCAATATCTAATAATGTGTTCCTGATTTTCTCGCTAACTTAATTGGTTTGTCTATATAGATGCCAGAAACTGGCTCTACATAATATTTTCATTATGTATTTTTTATCAAAACAATACAAAACCCAAAGATAGAAAATTTACCAACATATATGACAAAGGAAAGCCCCGAAATATCATTTGAGACGCTTGAACCAGTAAATATTTGGCTTTTTTGCTTAAAAAAGAGTTGAAAAGATTAATTATTCAAACAGTTGTTGATTATTTTTCTCTCAATCAATTAATTAGCTAATTGATTTCAGCTCTAGTTGAGTACAGCACACTTTTGTTTGCAGATTTGTCACAAAACATGTCTTTCACGTCTCATTTGATCGTTATGTAGATCAGCAAATTTGTAGACGATACATCTACGCTGTCAGAAGCTCCACAACCTGGAAAAATGCATTTGCTGGAGGCAGTTCACCCCAAAATCATAATATTTGTCTCTTACCTGTAGTGCCAGGTGTCTGTGAGGCTGTTTTGTGTCTCTTTGCATCTCTTTGTGGTCATTTTGAGTCTCTTCCTGGTCGGTACATGTTACAGTAATGTGAGTGACATTTGGCAGATGAAGGCCATGGGGGCCCCTGCGCTTTGGGCCTTGGACCTGTGCCCATTAGGCCAGACATATACTTGCTTTTTAAGCATGTCTTTGCTCAGACAACCAGCTGCGTCATGAACAGAATTACTCACATACTTGTCAATGTACTGTGCATGTTACTGGAGGATTCTGCCAGAGCAGGGGTCGGGAACCTTTACTATCAAAGAGCCATTTTTCTGTCCCAACTCTTTTTGTAGGGGTTTTCAAATTTAAACAGCGGCAGTAGTATAAAAGTGAAAACATAATTTCTGATACAATTCTAGAAAATGTTCAAAAAGTCAAAAAACACAAAATACTCTTAAGGGTGATTTGTGAAACATGTATGGAAAAAGACACAAGTTTGCAAAATATAATATTTACAGATAAAATGTATTGTTCTATTCATCATTTTATTTTAAACAGTAAAAAAAAGAAAGCACACCAGAGAAGTTAGATCATACAGAACATCCAGATTTGCGTGATGTAACAACACATTCTCACTCCGACCTCGTCACATACTGACATTTGATCATGGACTTTGCATGTCCAGGTATGGCGAGGTACCCTGGGTGTGTTGGTTGTTGGCGTTCTGGGACACTGTGTCAAGTTCTGCTTGTTACATGCATTGTCTTCTTTCAACATACACTTTTTGAAATTTTGAAATTTAATGTTTACATACAGTCTCTTTCAAAATAAATGCACTACGTCAGTACAACAAAGCACATGGTTAAGGTTAAGGAAAAGAACAGGGTTTGGCTTTCCCGGGTGAAAGTCGGTGTTTGTTGGACCCATCCACCACCCCTCCAGCCCGACCTATTCAGGACTTGCGCCGCCTTAACTTTCATTCTTAACCCACTTTGTTTCCCCCGATGCCACCGTGCACTATTAAACTATAACAGCAACTGGCAGTTTATCATGCCGTTGTTATAGGACAGCTTTTTTCATCAGTGTCTGACATTCGCAAGTCACTGCCCAAGCACCGGATTTCACCAACTTTTCAGTGAGACCGGAAGGTTACTGTACTGTTAATTCTGAGATCAATGTGACTCATGGCACAAAAAGTGCCCGCAGCGCAGTCACAGATGGTTTGTATAAACCATATCTTGACAATGTTGACTTTCTTTCTCTCATTCTCCCAACCCCGATGTGTGGGTATTACATCTTGTGGACACGTTGCATTAATTTCTGGGGACGTGAACAATAAACACTCCAAACAGATGCAGGTGATGCAATCTGTAGTTGAAAGCAAGTAGATCTCCAACCTTAGACCCGTTCAGTAATCCATCCATGCATGTAGTTTGGTAGAAAGAAAATAGTTCCTACATGATCTGTGGCTGAATTCACAGCTTCAGGGTGCCGGGTGGCACTTCTGACTCTTGTATACACCCTTCATTCTTACCCAGATGCGTTCTCAGGTCAATCAGTACTCAGTAGTACAGACATAATTTGGTCGGTACCCTTGAAAGAACATGGTACCTTACCTTTGAGGTGATATGGTTGGTGGGTTTAGTTTTGTAAAAAGAAAATAGTTCCTACATGAAACTGCTCACAACAAGAGGCCTGTTTCCACTGAAGAAGTTCCTGGTACTATTTGGGGGGCAGGAACTACTACAGGAACGTCCTCTCGCTCGGCCCTCTCAACCACCGTGTCTCCACTGAGAGAGCAGAGTACGCGGATGGTTCCTGTAAAGTTACCGGGCTCTGGATGTGATGTAATCGTTGCGCAACCATTTTGACCGGGGCGACGTAGTGGCGTAGGGACGCTGTTAGCTGTTAGCCGATAGCGGTGTCTGTAATAACTCACTAAACTCACAAAGTGGCCGGTGAAAAAAATATTTTTTCCAGCAGATGTCTTAGTTACAACATGATTGAGCAGTTTCATGTCGTTTCCGACAACAGGAGGCTTTTAACAGATGACGTCCTGATGTTAGCTTTGCTGCTGCTGTTAGCTGTCCCTGTCAGCTGCAGCTACTGATGCTTTCTAGACATCTTGATTTCCCAAAACTGAATAAATACCACACATAGCAACACAAAACTGCTTTGCTAGCTCAATCATGTTGTAACTAAGATATCTGCCGGAAAAAAATATTTTTTTCACGGACCGGTTATTGAGTTTGTTTACATGGCGGTGGAAGCTATGAACAAGCTAACTCTTGTCTGCTAAATTTTAAAAATGCCGGCTATTTTGTTGCTCTCTGTTGACGTCACATTCCACCTTGAGTATATCCAATCAGCACCAAGTAAACCCCAAGCCCCAGCCAGGAATATATCGGGGCAGTTCTGAGTACCTACTCCGAGGCAGGGACTTGTTTAGCCCCTGTAAAAGTTCTGGAACTCTGTCCTTCGGGGGTGGTTCCTGCGGTGGAGACACGCACCAATGGCCCCGGCCCTGTAATTTTACCCCGAAGTTCCTGCGGTGAAAACAGGCCTATAGTCTGTGGATTATCTTGAGTAACCAGGTCATGACGTCTAGAAAGAGATGTTGCTGTTGAGTTTTTCAAATAGATTTTTTGGTGTTTTGAGCACCACAAGCCGAGTGCCATCTAGTTCCATTATATTGGAGAGAAATCAGACACCTCTACGGCTGATATCTCCAATACCCTGCAACTCACAACAAAACAATCTAGAAGGATAAACAGCTCTACAGGTAAAAAGACAAATATGAACTTTTGATTCTGGGGTTGAACTATCCCTTTAATCCCCAACATATTATTTCAGGTGTTGGAGACGTAACTAAATGCAGCACAGATGCAGTCTTGCTGAAACAAATGTCAGTTTTAAAGGTCACTAGTGTCCAAGTTAATTTACTTGACTGCCCAGTAGTCAGTAGCTCTGTCTTTATCAATGGCCCTGTTGTCCTTAACTAGATTATGGCTGGCCTGGACAAACAACTGGGTATGTGTCACAGTTACTGGGCTTCCTGTCAGAAAGTGTGGTGTAATGTTCGGTGCTTTATTGACAGAAAAGGGAGTTTTAAAGTGTTATTGTGAGAGGAAATACATTTCAAGTGCTCTTCTGTTTTAAAATCATTGCTTTGCATTAACAGAAAAAGCACCATGCTGTTTCTGTGTGTGGAGCTGAAAGAAGAGAAAGAAAAAGGCAATCTGTCCTCTCAACTCTCAATCTGGTTAAATTATAACCTGATTCATTAATATATAAAGAAGGACTCAATCCTGCCAAGTGAACTGCTGTAAACCAGATATGACTGAACAGATTCACAGATCCTGGCGTGTGAAGGGAAGCTGTGTCTGTTATCTAAAGCCTCATAGCACCGACATTACGTCACCCCAGTAGCTCATTGTGCTGAGTTTAGTTCCTCGAAACTTTTTTTTTTTTTACCCCTCTCTCCCTTTTCGACAGTGACTCAAAAAAGTGCGACAACTCGTCTCGTCCGCTGCACGTCTGGTATGCAGGGTGGGACCCGTGGAGCACTCCCACTATTCAGGAATTTGGGAAGTTTCCTTCCATATAAGGAGTTTTTGATGTCAATCGCGATCTAAGGAAGAGAAGGGGAAAGGTGGAGTCTAGGATCGATTAACGAAGCGTATAACCAAAGAGTACACAGGAGGAACAAGAGGAGGTCTGCTGCGCACTTCCGGGATTGCTGCAGCTGTTATATAAGGGATGGAGGGGTGGTTTCTATGAAGTTGTTTGAGTGTAGGGTTATAAAGCCTGTAATGTATGATAGCTATAACTCTATAATGACTTTCTTTGAGCTTGCACAGTATATAACGTGTACTTAATCAAGCTCAATGTGTCAGTTTTGCAGAAAATTATAGATTTATTAAAGGATTTAAGACATACTTTATTAATCCATGAGGGGAAATGTGATTATTTTCACTCTGCTGTCTGCATTGCTCTTCCTCTGTCTGTATAACATGTCTGCTATGTGCTGTGGGCATACATTCATGTGTGACAAATGACACAGCTCTCCATTATGCATCTGGTGTGTGTTGCTTTTATTTTATTTTCTAGGATCTGGGGGATTTGGGGTCTTTCCCCGGGAAATTTTGAGTGCCAAACACTTAATTTCCTGCATTCTAATGAATGTTCAAGCATCATTTTTACCCTTTTTTGCATCAATTTATGTTGGAAATGTCTTTAATTAAATTAAAATAAAAGTCCTCTGCTACTCTTATTATTTCATTGGGCGAGGGGACAACAAATGCACATGTTCCTGAGATGAAGGGGGACATTTCCCCTGTGTACCCCCTGAAATCTTCACATATAGCAATATGAGAATGTGTTTACATTGGACTATTTTTTTTTTCTCTAACTAAATGATAAACAGGAGAAAAGCATCATCATTTTCCTCCTCACATTCTTATTCCTGGCGTTGTTTGAGAAGGCTTTAAAAACTGTAGGCAAAGATTTTGTGGGGACACAGATGACATGTCCCCCTCAATATTTAGAACATGTGTAGGCCTACCATTTGAGGAAACTCCCTCAAGGCCCTCTTGAGATGTTATGATCATGGGAACGAGAAAGATACAAGGTCACGTTAACCACAACCTTTGATCAACAAAATCAAATTAGTTAATCTTTGAGTCCAAGCGGACATTTGTGCCAAGTTTGTAAAAAGGTGTTGAGATAATGCATTCACAAGAATGAGAGAGAAGAGGTTACAGTGATCTTGACCTTTGACCGATTATCACCAAGATCTAATGAGTTCATTGTCAAGTCCAAGTGGATGTTTGTGACTAATCTGAATTTTTTTTTTTCCCTTCAAGGCATTCCTGAGATATCGTGTTTACAAGAATGGGACGGACAATCCAAAAGCGTAACGCCTCTGGCCAGTGGCTAAGGAAGTTACAACAGGTCCCAGTGCACACTATTATGACGAGCCCTAGTACATGCATCATTTAAACTCCACAGCCTACCTGAGTGTTGTTGCTGACCGTGTCCATCCCTTTATGACCACAGTGTACCCATCTTCTGATGGCTACTTCCAGCAGGATAACGCACCATGTCACAAAGCTCAGATCATCTCAAAGTGGTTTCTTGAACATGACAGCAGATCTCAATCCAATAAAGCACCTTTGGGATGTGGTGGAACGGGAGATTCACATCATGGATGTGCACTTCACAAATCTGCAGCAACTGTGTGATGCTATCGTGTCAATATGGACCAAAATCTCTGAGTGTTTCCAGCACCTTGTTGAATCTGTGACACCAAGAATTAAGGCAGCTCTGAAGACAAAAGGGGTCCAACATGGTACTATCATGGTGTACCTAATAAAGTGGTCAGTGAGTGTACATGTCAATAGCTCAAATACAGCATGCAGGATTTATGGGCTATTGGCAGAAACATAGCATGATGATACAAATGAAATTCATTAGGGATCCTCCCACAAACACGCCAGTGAGCTGCGTGTATAAGTTTCCGCGCCCCTGCAGTGAAGCATCAGCAGGGAACTATCTTGACTCTTGTGTCGACACTCTTTGGCAGAAACCGTGGGAGCGCTCTAATTGGCGGCTGTAAAAGAGAAAGGAAGTATTTATTTCACTCCGAAGTTTCATTGGAAGAGAAAGTCGAAAATTATTTAGCGCACAGTGTTCTCGACGAGCCGTCTTTTATTTCCCAGCCCAGATAGAAACTTCTCAATTCTTTGACAATGGCTAATTTCAACAAGGGACCTGCCTACGGATTATCAGCGGAAGTCAAAAACAAGGTAGGTGTTCATATATATTTATTTAATCACATCACATAAAGTTGTACAGAACTTTTCCTCCTCATCATCATCTTCCTCTCACTGTGCTTCCCGCGAGCATCGGAGTCACCTGGCCTCCATTTTGATACGCGTGCTCTGGTCAGGTATTCAGGTGAACGAAAAAAACGACGTGAAGAGATTTAAAAGTGATTTTTTTTAAAATCATAAACAGACTTTATAACTTTCCAAAAACTTTCGTTGAGTTTGAATCTTTTTGCAAATTTGTATATTCATATTTTATTTGTGCATGTTGAAAAGCAGATTGCTTTTCCCCCGGTGTAGGACACAAAGTTAAATACAGCCTATGGGCGTTGTCCCTCTTGGCAAAGAAGTGTGTCGTTGTGGCAAATTCGTTATCCCCGTTTCCAGAATTTTCTATTCCCCGTGCAGCCTGTTGACCGGCGTTGTGACCCGCATTAGCAGATAATGTAATTCATCTATTAGTCCTGGAACTGGATTATCATACATCCTCACTATCCCCCTTCTCTATGCGTCTTTTTATTGCGTCTTTTACGCAGCGTGAATAGTCTCTCCTTCCCCCCTTGTGGTAAGTTAGATGTCGTGCTGCTTCTCTTAAGAAAAGTTGCCCTCGCTCAAATCATGACCTGTCAGTGCAGGGAGGTGTCTTTCTTTCTGACTTTGGGTCTTTATTTTAGTTTTTACCCTGCAGGATCAGTCTCTGTGCAGACTGAAGTCCCACAAAACAAACATGTCTCCAAAGTGACCCCTCTCTGTCTGCGGTAATGTGTAACTTTGTGAGTGTGGCCTTGATGAGGAAAGCACCTTGTTTATTTTGACCTGCCTGCACACCCGGATCCACTTAAAATACCAGGTTGATGCTGGAGATTACTTGACCACGTTTTTACTGTGTCTCACACTGATGATCTGTGGTGTGTGTGTGTATGAGAGAGAGAGAGAGGATGGGATTTTCCTTTTAAAATGTGCTGTCACTGTGTATTACTGTTCATTGCGTTATTACTAGTTTCATCTTGACCATTACTACTTCTGTGCTTTGTTCCCCTTATCTACTAAGAGGGGAATACATTATAAGCTGCAGCTTTTCTAAAATACACATAAAGGTTTTGCTCATACCTACCAGCAGTGGCGCCCCCAGAAATCTTTCATGGGGGTGCCCAGATGGGCCCACTGGAAAAAATCAAAAGCCGTAACGGAATTCATGTCAATGGAGAGTTAAGGAATCGTACACTCATATGTTGGTTTCGTATTTCACACTTAATATTACTAATCTGTTGTGCATATTAAAGAGACAGTTCAGATTTTTTGAAGTAGGGTTGTATGTGATACTTATCCATAGTGAGTCTATTCCAAACAGTAGATGTCAGTCAGCACGCCACCAGTTTGGAGAAACAGGCTGCGGTCCGAAGCGGAAGAGAAGCAGTGTACTTCTGTGGATGGGGGTCCACAACGAAACATATTTTAGCCACCTGAAAAGTCCCAACTAAAAAAAAAAAATGCTATATTGAGAGTATCAGCACTATTTTCACTTACCTTTCTGTCAGACAGGGAAGCCGCCAACAGCTTCAGTTCCCCGTCTAGGCTCTTCTTAAAGGCACCAAACTCCATTTAGAAAAACAGTAATTTTAGATCACTGAACACGAGCTGTTGGTCTCCTGCTGCTCCAATCAGTTTTTTTGTGTTTGTATGTTATTGTGTGACTTTAAGTTCAAAGTAAACAGTTTAAACGGCAAAATAACACAATACTACTGAAATATTGCTTTACCAGACTAATGCTAATAAATAACTTTTTATCTAATCTAGGTCACTCTACATTGACAGTAACTAATGGTTACAACCTAATACCATGTTACAAATTGCATATCAGCAAAACATTGACATGCAGTATATGAGTAAATAAAGTTTATCATCATCAACCAAGCATTTACTTTCGGCCGTCATGATTCTACATATGTGACGTCGGCTCAGTAACTGGTGTGCCAAAATTTTTGCCAACTTTCCAACTTGAGGGGGCATTCACGTGAATTTTCCCAGTCAAGAACTAATTTTTCTGATTATTCCGACACTGCATGAATGCCCCCTTCTCGACAAGCTATGCCAACGTGGTAGTAATAGACAGGGTTCCCATGGTCATGGAAAAACCTGGGAAAGTCATGGAATTTTGAATCTTAATTTTCAAGCCTTGAGAAGTCGTGGTTTGAGTAAAATCCTTTGAGAGTTTGGAAAAATCATGGAATTTTGCTGTGTTTAGATAATGTAATGTAACATGACGGCAAATTTATTTCCTGTAGCTGTAATATGCATTGACGTGTCAAGTTTTGTTTACTTTACACAATAATTATGATACAGTAACTAACATTTGGAGTACAGTGGACTATTCAGTTCTGTCCGTGTGCTCATACATTGTGAAAGGTGGATGGAAATTTCATGTTAAAGTCATTGAAAAGTTCAGAAATTTTTCCATGAAAATGTGTCGGAACCTTGAATGGATGCCTGAGGTTGTCTAGTTTCAAATAATACCCCTACCTTCATGTTATATTAGAAGCTGGACAAGCCACAGCCTCTTGAAGACAGCAGTGTTGGCCTCCAGTTTTCGCTTTAGGGGGGCAGTGGTCGGGCCAACAACTGTATCAGGGTGGCCAGGGCCTCCCCCTAGCGAAAATAATTGGTGGGGGACTTCACTGTCTGTAAGAGGCTGTGGCTTGTCCAGTTTTTAATGTACCGTGAAGGTAGTGGTATCTTTTGAAACTAGACAACGACTTAAGGCATTCATTGGTATTGGCTATGTTGGCATAGCTTGTCAGGAACAGGGCTTAATTGCGCTCCAAATTTAGACTAACTTTTGGCGAGGGAACAACTGGCCATGCTGTTTAATAAGGGGTCCCATAGTGGTGCCTCTTCCAACTATTCTTTAACTTGCTTTCAGCTGATTTATTTTTTTTAATCTGCAGTCCTTGACTGTGCCCTTGTGTAGAAAATAAACGGTCATGCCCTCCTCAAATCTCTACAGAACAACATGTGCCGGACGTAAAGAAAAAATTTAGATTTCCTCTGTCTGTTAACAGCGATGTCCTTGAAGCGGAGGGGGGTAAAGAAATGCTGGCTTGAATGGTATTTCCTGCCAGCGGTGACATAGCCTCCTCCATGAAATGTGAGGAATCCAAGGCTTAACACCGGTCCATAACTGCCTTTTAACTTTTGCTTTATAGATGTAGAAAATCATGAGTTTGAACGGTGAATTTAAAGTTGACCAACTGCAGTGAGCAGCGGTCTGTGTTCATTCATTGGACCGGCACTCAGCACTCAGCTCCCTCGCTGCTTCATTCAGCTCTTTTATCCAACCGCTGTGGGGTAAATTCCTTGCGTTCAGCTTGTCTCTGCAAATTACATCTGTAGGATTCTTTGCGGGCAATTAAAATGGAGAGTGTTTTTTTTTAATATGGGGATAACCGTATGAAGGAAATGTAATTAGAAGACAGACATTCCTTAAGAGTACAACCAGCTGTGAGCTGAGTGCAGCTAACTTCTATGTATATGGTAGGTTGAACTCTGCGGTACGGCGTCTCATTGCCCTCGGGACAGAGAAGGATTGTTGGCTGCTTGTGGGTTTGCACGGAGCTCAGTCAACACCTTATCCTTTACTGGAGGAGAAGAAATCTATACCTGTTTCAAGTTTAGTCACTCATTTTTTCCTTTTTCTTTCATTTCTGCTTTCCAGTTTGTCTCACACCGGACGTAAATCTGTTGTTTACGTGACCATAATGCACTTCCTGAATGGCCTCTTTCAGAGCTGGTGTAGCATGTCTCTCATGCCTCTGTCGTCAATCAAAGAAAGAGCTTGTTAATCAAAGTAACACCTCGACAGTGACGCCCTTCACAAGAAAGTCAATCTTTGTGCCATGTTAAGCCCTTTAAAACGCTCCCCTCCCTCCTACTTTCAGCCACTGCCTTCCTGTGTTTCAGTGCAGAATTGAGCTGTTTAGCAAACAGGATATCCTTGTGTGTGTGTGTGTGTGTGCGCGCATGTGTGTGTCAGGTCATCGGTGTCACCTTTTATTTATGAGGAATGTAGAAGACAAAAGTTCCCTCTGTAGACGTAGCATGCTACACTGAGGCAAAGGGAAATTCAGGGGTGACCATGAAACCTGATCTCGTGCAGTCATAATAAACTTGTGGAAAAATAACATGTTGTGGTTGCAGCTTAGTTATCGGTATCTTTTATGAAATTCTTAAAGTGGGGAGTGTGCAAGTGGGAGGTCACTCGGGACAGGAAGATCATTTTTTCTTCTGGTAACAAAGAAGAAGTCTGTGACAAACTCTGTAACAAATCACCTACTGGCTATTCAATCCGACTGCCAGAATAAATGTTGGCAATGTACGTTTCTGAAAACCACAGATATGTTACATTAGTAGGTTTCATGTGCAGCAGATTAAAACTTCAGTTTTATATTGTGACAACTCTGGTTAGGTTTAGACATGAAAAACACTTTGGTAGGGTCAGGAAAATATGCTTTGACTTAAAAATACCCAGTTTTGTCACCACAAAAACAGCTGGACATGACCCAAACTATTGTTAAAAAAACACCCACTTTTGCCACTACAGACATGGTGGGACAGGTCCTGAACTATCATCAAAGATACCGGCTGTTGTCTCCACAAAAACAGCTGGACATACTCCGAACTGTTGATTAAAAAACACCCGCTTTTGTTGCTACAAGAACGGATAGACATGCCCTGAACTTTCAATTAAAAAAACATCGTCTTTTGTCGATACAAGAGTGGATAGTTATGCCCTGAACCATTGATTAAGAAACACCAGCTTTTGCCGCTACTAGAACGACTGGACATGGCTCGTACTATCATTAAAAACACCCGCTTTTGTTGCTAAAAACACGGCTGGACATGACCCAAACTATTACTAAAAATCACCCGCTTTTTTAGCTACAAACATGGCAGGACATGTCCCAAACTATCGTTAAAAAAACACCCGCTTTTGTCGCTACAAAAACAGCCAGATATGTTAGAAAACACCTGCATTTGTCTTTACAAACACAGCTGGACATGACCCAAACTATTGTTAAAAATCACCCACTTTTGTAGCTACAAACATGGCAGGACATGTTCCAAACTGTCATTAAATGGTACAATACCAACATTTTTGCAGCAACCAAGCAGGGCTATTATTGAACAAATGTGACCTATGACCTTTCTGCCCAACCAGATCGCACAAAAGTATGACCTACAGAAAGAGGAGGAGCTGAGGATCTGGATCGAAGACATCACTGGTGCTAGTATCGGCCCCGACTTCCAGAAAGGCCTGAAGAATGGAGTCATTCTGTGCGAGTAAGCAGAGATCACATATTGTCCATTACCCTGCTGCACCATGAAAGCCCTGATCATCCATTTTATTACGAACAGTGGTTTGGAAAACTTAATTATATTCTTTCTTTTTTTCCTTCACAGTCTTATCAACAAACTTGCTCCAAACTCTGTGAAAAAGGTCAACAAATCAGCGCTGAACTGGCATCAGGTGAGTTAGATGATGACACATGCTTTTTAACCAAGTGAGGGTGCAGCACAATAAGTGTCCTTTGTTAGAACCTCAGAGCCATAATCACCTGTTCAACATTGAGGGAGGACAACTTTCAATCTTTGACCCAAACCTAGATGAGAAATCTTTAGAAGCCAAACAGCTAAACTGACCGTTGAAGTATTTTTAAGCCAAAATCTGGGATCAGGTTTCTTGTTTTGTATTACATAATATAATTATTGCCTAGTTGCAGCAGTTCATTTTACTGACACTGGTGATGACATCACACACAGGTTGAGTCTTGCTTCTGTACATAGTGAACAAATATTATCTTGTGCTGTCGTCTTGTGCTTTGAGTGTTTTCTACCAGTTGGGATGTTAGCACACTGAACCATGCTCGGTCATGGTGATACATGTTATGCTGGCAGTGGCAACTTCTTTTGCTTTTACTGACGAGCTTAGAGCCGCTCCTGAAACTGGTTTCTTTCCTAAGGTGCAGCCAGTCACAGTAAACACTGGTAGAGATAGTAAAGACCTTCTTAGCGTTGCAAGCACAAACTGTTGTTACAGCGACAACAGGGTGTCTGTGGCGCCTTATGAAGTCTTAATTCAATTTTATAAATATGAGGCCTTATGAGTCGTTGAATTGCATTGAATTTGAGTTTCTAAGAACTTAACTGCCACAAACAGTTTATCTAATTTCATTTATCCATCTTTTGATTTCTTGTCAAACTGAATCAAGCTCTTCTGCTTGATGTTACAAATCTTTAAACCTACCACTGAACATATTACACTGTCTTTTTACTTCATACTGCATTTATCTGTTGGCAAAATGTAGATTAACCCACTCGCTCTAATAACTATACTTGAATAAATGCAGATTTATCCAAAAATCAGTCTTAAATTTGGTTAAAAATTATCTTTAAAGTGTTAAATATAAGTTTGCTATGGCTGTGTACACCCTGTACAGGACTGCTTCCTATTAATACACATCTCCGTCATTCTAAATCCTGCACACACATTGTTGATCTTGTTTTTAATTGGTGTGGTTTCAGCTGGAGAACCTGACGAACTTCATCAGTGCCATCACATCATATGGCCTGAAGCCTCATGACATCTTTGAAGCCAACGACCTGTTTGAGAATGGCAACATGACGCAAGTCCAGACAACGCTGCTTGCGCTCGCTAGCATGGTGAGACTTGAAAATCAGCTACTTGTTGTGGGAGTGATGGTTTCCTTCCAGCTACGTCATAGAAAGTTAAATTATTATTATTATTATTATTATTATTATTATTATTATTATTATTATTATTATTATTATTATTATTATTATAATTACGAATGATTGGATGTTAGTATTTCTACATTGACAACCATCTACGCTTTGTTTCCTCTCAGGCCAAGACCAAGGGCTGCCAGTCACGGGTGGACATTGGGGTGAAGTACGCTGCCAGGCATGAGAGGATGTTTGATGATGAGAAGCTGAAGGCTGGACAGGCCGTCATTGGCCTACAGGTACAGTTTGTTTTTTGTTTTGTTTGTTTTTAGATTCCTGTGTGAGCAGCAGGGTTTAAAATGCGAAGACTCAGCAGCAGTTCTGTTTTTTTTAACTCTTATCTGTGATAAGCTTAACGCTCTTGACAATCGCCCTGTATTTACAGTCAGCATGTCACATGACCGTTGGAACAGTGATACTCAAGGCTGTGGTGACGAAATAATCAAATGTGAGCAGACAAAATATTCCCAGAATATTGATTGGGATTGTCAGTAAAGGAAAAAGGGGTATTTGACATGACTGAGAAATGTCACGCCATAAAAGTCAGCTTCTTAATTTGATCTTGAGACACTTGACCTGCTTGGGAAGCTGAGCTCACTGCAGCATGTGTCGAAACTATTGCAAAACCGGACTTTGTCATGATCTCATGTCAGGCATAGCATACCTCAGTATTAATGCTGCTCATTGTTCTCACTGCCTCTCAAGCTTCTCTATTTTGTTTTTGTTTCCGGCGCCATGAAATATGTGGGGTAGATATGAAGGCTACTTGCACAGTGAGAAAAAAGCTAACCATACAACTTACTGTTTACAACTTCACTTGAGTGTTAGTCACAGCTGAGTGTGAAGTATATGTTTGCCCAGTGTCACGGTTACATAAACAACCCTTCCATTCTTGTCGATGTTGTGCAACATTTCACTGCTGCCTGTTATCATAAAAGTGCAGCAGCTTTTGTTTTGCAAAACAGCCATTTATTGTGGTGCTTCTGTCTTCAGATGGGGACCAACAAGTGTGCTAGTCAGGCCGGTATGACAGCATATGGCACCAGGAGGCACTTATATGACCCCAATGTCAAGGAGACCCCCCTGGACCAGACAACAATCAGCCTGCAAATGGGAACCAACAAGGGGGCGAGCCAGGTACTGCAACATATTTCCAACTTCTCATGAAATCATAATTATAGGATTCCAGTGGAAATAAGCCTCGGGGCATCACTTACACTCTGCCCTTCCACTGCTGTAATCTAGAGTCATGTTTAGTCTTGTAGGAAGCCGAAAAGTCCTGGATTCTGCTTTGCCTATTTGATTCACTGTGTTGCTTTGCCAGTGTCTTAGATTTTTTTTTAAGGTGGCTTAAAATACATTTTACAATGGCCCCTGTCCACAGCACTACATTGCTTAACTTCTGTACGAGTAGAGCTGATTTATCAGTTTACGCATATGTTATAATTGGAACAATTTTACCGCTTTATCTTTCTCACTAAGCTCTGATTTATGGCTGGGTGCATGCCACTTAAGTGTGTCACTCGACGGGAAAAAGGTGTCACGCATACCTTAACTTCCATGTCTCACACCTGGAGAATTTTGTTATGTATTGGACATCAAATTTTGTTGTGCAATGTGATAGTCTTACTATCGCAGCCATGGAGCCCAGCCCATTATGAATCTATGGGCCAGCCTAACTGTCTTCGCCAGGCTGACTGACAGCAGTCATTTACTGAGCCAAAATAGTTTGATGCGAGCACCATAGGAAGAAATCAGTGTTTGTATTTATCGATACACTGATTTTTATTTCTCAGTGACTGTATTGAGTGAGGGGAATCTGACGCTCACGCAGTTAATAAAATAAACAACTTTATGTGTGATTTTTAAACGGCTGTCTATGCAGATTATGCTTCACTAAACGTGTCAGGAATATACTTGTAGTGTAAAAAAAATGCAAGGGTCTCTGTCTACCATGAAGACGACTGAAACCTTTCGGTGAAGCATAAATTGAAAATGTTGCACAGCTGTTAAATTTCTGTCAAGTGACACTCTTCAAAAGTTTCAAGAGCCCAACCATGAATCAGGTTTAAGTGATTGAGGCGGCAGTAGACCAGCAACTCCAGCGTTCTGCTAACTGTTGGAAATAGCAGTCTGATGGTGAGGTAAAGTAATGAAAATATTTTTGAGCATTGCGTACGCTTAAACTGATATTGAGTTTTCTGGGTGGACCTTTTTTTTTCAGTGGCTAATACCTAACCAACTGAAGAAGAGTTTGCTCAGTGATGCAGGGGTTTTCCTACCTTGAAGTAAATCATGAACAAACATTGATTCAATTTACACAAGAAAAATAAGTTATACTGACTGAATCACATTTGTTTACAATAACATATCACGTACATAAAATGAGCGAACGCTGCCTCAAGTGGGGTTTTTTTTTTTTAGCCACCTACAAAAAAGTTTTACTTAAAAAAAAGTTTAAGTGAACGGTATATTAGTATTTTCACCATGTCATCTTGCCATCAGACCCCGACTTCTGGGAGCTGAAGCCATTACCTCAAAGCCACCAGACTCTATTGAGAAAACAGTAATTTTACTTAGCAGAACACTGGAGTTACTGGTTTACTGCTGCCTCCATCAGTTAGTATGCAAATACAGGGCACGCTTAAATAGATACTTTTAGGGGTGGCTAAAAGTTTGTTGCTCAGCTTCTGTGTTGTAAAACACCAGCAAAGCAACTCAGTGAAAAAAATAAGCACAGCAGAGATGCTACATAGGTCGGACCACAGTGTTTAACCGTATGTCTTTAAACGGTACAGTCAGGGCTGAACATAACAACAGAAATAAACAAGTTTGGCAATTGTACGTCTCCACAATTCAAATCAATTGTCCATTGTTGTCTAAACTGAAGTGATTGATTGATAGAGTGGCATCACAGTGATTCGGTCTAACTTTTTTTAAACATAAATGTTGTTGTTATTCTTATTTTAACTGTCCCCTGTCTACCACAGGCTGGCATGACGGCTCCAGGGACAAGGCGTGCCATTTACGACTTCAAGACAGGCACAGACAAGTGTGACAACAGCACCATGTCCCTACAGATGGGCTACAAAGACGGAGCCAACCAGAGCGGCCAGAACTTCGGCCTGGGGCGGCAGATCTGTGACGCCAAGTACTGTCCTACAGCTGCAGAGGGTACAGATAATCAAAACGGGGCGGGCGTCATCCGCGACTACCTCCCAGATTACCAAGACGAGGGGTACCAAGGTTACCAGGAAGAAGAGGTGTACCACGAGGACGGGACAGATTATTAGAGGGAGGGAGCTGAGGAAGAGAGAGTATCTGAAGGAGGCATGTTCTGCAGAAAGAAACCCCTGAGGCGCCCGGTTTGAGGGCTTATTTTTTATACCCATAGGATGTTGCACCTTTTTTTGGGGTCATATCCTTTTTAGTATTGTATGAAATTGTTTTCTTACCCCTATTTGTGCAGAACCAATGTTACACATATCATGATGAACTGTATTTCTGTGATTTTTGTATTTAACGTGACCACAAAAGCCAAAATTTTTGGCTTGGCTAGTTTTCTATCCCAGGGATTTTGTTTTAATGTGCCAAAGCCCTACAATTCTTTTTTTTGTTTTGCTGACTCATGAGTTACATTAAGGGAGATTCCTTTTTTTTTTTTTTTTTTTTTTTAAGGGCAACATGAAACTTAAAGTGAAACATAGGGAGTTTTTTTTTTTTTTTTTTAAAACCATTTTTAAGTAAGTGCACCATGTTATGATCAAAACACCCATGCTTGTGTTTCTCTGTAATCGCTGTTTCATCTGTAAAAACATGATTCCTGTGAATGAGAATGTACATATGTTTGTTACTTCTCCAGTATCTTCTTTAACCCCTCAGTATTGGTCAATAAAATAGAGGGATAGAGGGAACAATTTTTTTTTTCTAGAACAAACAAATCTTACCTTTTCATATTCTGTCTTGTCTTTCATTCATTGCATCTTTTTCTAATGGAGGAAATATTTCCTTTGTTTTTATAACCAGTCCAACTGGAGTTAAGCTTGTTTTCTTTGGATTAAAGACCGTGGGGGAGTGGATACAATAACACAAGTGATTTGAACATTCCAAGCAAGAATACTGGATTCTTTTCTGTCAGTGAGTAATGTTTAAAGGTGCAGTGTGTGTGGGATTTAGGGGGGATCTACTGGCAGGAATTGAATATAACATTCATAACGTTCATCTCTTCAGACTAAGCATTGTGTTTTTATTGGCATAGAATGAGCCCTTTATTTGTACATAGGGAGAGTCTGCTGTGTTGCACCACCATGTTTCTACAGTAGCACAGAGCAGATGAGCCAAACGCCACCTGAGGCTGCTGTAGGTTTGGAAAACGATGGGTACTCAGCTTCAATCTGTGACCTCGCCGCCAGATGCCACTAAATCCTGCACGCTGTTCCTTTAAGTTCATCAGGCTTAAACATTGGTTGATAAGCAAACCAATCACTCAAATATATTTGATCATTTAAGGTTATTATTTATGCATATTTGTGATTTGATATGGGGTTGTTTTCTATCTGGACTCTGAATAGCATTTGGTATTAGACTGAATAACATTTGGTATTAGACTATACTTTATGCTCTGGAATAATCTATATGCCAGTGGGAAAAAGAAACGAACTGAGAAGTTTGTTTTTGTGAATACCGTGTAATAAAGATGTGTACCCATTACAACGTGTCGATTTGGTTTGTAATAAGACAAATGTTTGGCACAGAGGATGGGTTTTTCTCACTTAACCCTTTGAAACCTGAACAAATTGGCTTGATTTCTTTTAGAATTAAGAAAGAAAAAGGCAATGAGCAACGAAAGAAGAAATGACCCAAATAATTAGCAGGAAATTAAAAACAAGGACATTAGCAAAAAAAAAAAGAGAGAAATTAAGAAAATTTTAAAAAAACAAACAAAAAAAAAACAGGGAAATGACCTGGAAAGGCAATTTAAAAATTCTAATTCTTACATTATTCCAAAATGAAATAATAATTACAAAAATAGATTTCACAAGCTTTTTCCTTTTTTCTAGTTTTTTTTTAATAACTATAAATCTATTATTGTTTTGCAATTTATGGGACATTTCTGACTAAGTTGATCATTGCCTTTTCCCCCACTACTTATATTTGCTAAAAGGCACCTGAATGCAGCACAAGAAAATGATGTCCTTCCATGTTTCAAACGGTTAAAATGCAGCGGTGAATTATTGTTTAGGTCTTGTCTAGTCAAGATAGTGCACAAACATCAGTTAGTACCTGCATGGAAGCATATTTATCAGATATATTCATATGATAACTGATGAGATGATAAACCAGTTGACCAGAGATAAAACAAACAGGAAGGGTTTTCAGTCCACAAGTTGCACTATTACTGAACAACTGCACACTACTGCATATTACTTCCTTACAATACAGACGCAGTATGTTTTTAAAGGGTTAGTTAAAAGCAAAAACTAAATAAAATCTTGCTTTCTGCCTTGTGGTATCGAGCCATACACATAGTTTGGGTGTTTATTGTCCAGGTTTTGAGATGTCTGAGAGTAGAATAGATACTTCAAAATTTTAAATAATCCATCTTGTGTCCCTTGTATTGAAGCAGAGGCAGGTATGACATTTCAAGACCTGGGTTAATAAAACCAAAACTATTTCAATGGCTAGACACCACAAGAGGAAGTGAAAATAAAACACTGAACTGACCCTTAAAGTTCCCAAAAGGAAACGATGTTCAGCATCATTGTGGTCAATCCCCCATTCTACCAAAAGCCTGGGAGTTTGAGGGTTCTGCGCACTATGTTGGCTGTTCCTAGGACTGCACTTTTCTGGACAGAGATCTCAGATGTTGTATGTGGAATCTGCTGGAGTCACTCTCCCACTTTGGGGGTCACAGCCCGAGGACTCCCCACATTTTTTATAACTCCTTGTTCAGCCCTTGGTATTGTTCGAGCTTCTCGTGTTCCTTCTTCCTGATGTTGCTGTCGCTCGGGATTGCTACATCTATCACCACTGCCTTCTTCTGTTGTTTGTCCAACAACACAATGTCCAGTTGGTTAGCCATCACCAGTGTGTCAGTCTGGATCTGGAAGTCCCACAGGATCTTAGCTCGGTCATTCTCAACCACCTTAGGAGGTGTCTTCCATTGTGACCTTGGGACTTCCAGCCCACACTCAGTGCAGATGTTCCTGTACACTATGCCAGCCACTTGGTTATGCTGTTCCTGCCTGCATCTTACACCCTGCTGTTATGTGCTGAACTGTCTCAGGAGTTGCCCAGCCTGCACCTGGGGTCCTGTCTGGTGTGGTAGAACCCTGCTTGTTTACATGCTTCAATGTTCTGTCTGCCTTAATGTACCCAGTGATGTACTGGTAGTTGATGAGGTGGGTGTACTACTAAGTAGATGGGTAGGTCACTCACCACTAAACCCCTGAATTTATTTATATTCACCCTCTGTCTGAGCTGCTCCATTTTGGTGCCTGTCTCTACAAAACAGCCCCTACTTCTGAAAGAGCCTAATCTGCTCTGATTGGTCAGCATTTCCACGTCAACAACATTTGCACTCTTTGCGTCTCTGCACAGTCATTGCATGACTTCAACAGCACTGTAGCCACTCATTCTGTCTTCATGGGCCGTTTCACTTTATTACATTGCCATGCAACAGCTTGGGTCCATGTTGACTTGGTGACAGCTGATGTCATCCACAGACACTGCAGAACATTCCAACAGGAAATACAAAGGAACTCATTTACAGCTTTTATGTTTCAAGTTTGACACGGTCTGTATGGACTGTTTCACTGCCACTCTGTTGGCAGGACATTAGCTTTGGCTCCTCTTTACATCCTTTCAGCTAGCAAGGAAGATAAAAGAAAGAAAGGTCATGACGTCAGGCAGTGAGTTTTACACTGGAGCCAGACTTTGGTGCCACTTCTATTTAAGTTAATGGGGTAGGCACTGCGAATCACAGTATAGCTTATCATATCTTCATTGTTTCACCTTGGAATGAAAAATCCTTCCACGAAACAAAACAAAAAACAAAAGAAACACATTAAATGATGTTGACTGACGTTTTTTTTCAAACTGCGTATATTTTCGTCATTGGTCTCCAAACACATCATGTCTCTGTCCGTCAGCTGCACATAACTCAAGCCCCTGTTTGCTTCAAGTTAGCTACATCATGTTAGTTTCCTTGGTCCACGTCTACTTAGTGACAGCTGATGTCATTCACATACACTGAAGAACATTCCAACAGTAAATAAAAAGGATTTAGAATTTTCATTTTTCAAGTTTGAAACGGTCTGTATGAACAGTTTCATTACTCCTTGCATTGGCTTTGGTGCATCTTTACTTCCTGTCAGCTACAGTACGGCATTAACAAACATTCCAACAGGAAATATAAAGGAGCCCATTTAGAGTGTTGATGCTGTCAAATTTGAAATGGTGTATAGACTGGATCACTGTGACGTCACGCTAACAACAACAACAATCACTTCTGGGTAGAAAACTGGCAATTGATCTGAATTGCAGAGATGTGTAAAATTGGCAAACTTGTTAATTTCTGTTGTAATTTTCAGCTGTAACTGTGATGTTTAAAGTTATACAGTGAAACATGGTGGTCCAACCAATCTGAAGTTTCTGCTGTGCTTATTTTATGTATGTGTTGTTTTGCTATTATCTTTGATAAAACGAAAATCCAGGCACAGAGGCTAACTAATGAACTGCTGTGGGTGAGGGCCACTCACTAACAAATTGGTGCCACAGTAGACCAGCAACTAAGCGTTACGCTAAGTAAAATGGTAAGGAAAATGGAGTCTAGTAGCTTTGATATAAAGGCTTCAATTCCCTGTCAGAAAAGGCCATCTGACAGCAAGGTGAAGCAGTGAAAATATTCTGTATTAATATTATATGTTAATATTCTATAAATGCACATACTTTAAATATTGAGGGGTACGTGTCTCCTGTGTCCCCACAAAAATCTACACCTAGGAATAGCAGCTGCTTGAGTAAAGTTACTTGATAATTTTGTTAAAAAAGAAACTATGTGTTTGGCAAAAACCATCCACTTACCTTTTGTTTGTTTGTTTGTTTATTTGTTCTCATTTTTTGTCCTCCTAAAGTGTAGGCCTAGAACTAACACTGTGCTACATTAAGACTCTTTTTAATGATAGTATGCCAGCTTTTTTAAATTTATATTTTTAATGATAATATTTCAAATATAACAGTACATTATACAGAGAAATAAATATATCGTAGCAACATCATATATGAAACAACATCAAACATAACAAATAAGAATAACATTAAATGGGGCGTTGGTAGCTTAGTGGATAGTGCCAGATAGTGCCCCATGTATAGAGGTGATGCCTTGCTGTAGCCGTCGCGAGTTTGACTCCGGCTTGCAACCCTTTGTTGCATGTCGTCCCCCCACTTTCTCTGTCTCCCCATTTCACAGTGTCCTGTATATTAAAGGCAAAAAGCTCAAAAAAATAATCTTTTAAAAAAAAAGAATAACATAAAATAAAAACAAATACAGGCAACATTAGGGAGATGTAAACCTAGAGATAACACACCTCATTTGTTTTTATTTATTACATATAATTACCCTGATTATTTGAGGTCTTGTAGCTTTCTTGTTTGTTGTTTTTGTTTCTGTTTTTATTCAGTTTTAAGACAGATACATTGATGACATACAAACATTTTAGTTATCAAAGTTCTTAAGAAGTAAAAAATATTCTGTCATGAAAATAGTGAATAGCAAAAAGGAGAAAAAAGAAAAAGGAAGAAGAAAAGAAAAACAGGCAGAATTATTCTTCTATTCAGTCCGGTACAGAATTACCGGAGTCCATCTCTATACAAAAACTTTCCTTCTTCATTTGCAGTTGTGCAGTCATTTTTCCATGTATGCCTATCTCAGTCTCCTCTTGTCCATTGTTCCACAGTGGTGAGCAGATTTTACAATCAAGAAACCTTTATCATCTTTTTTGCAAAGTACCATTTAGATATACAAATGATACCCATAAAGTATACCTTTCTGTATACATCCAAACATATAATACTGTGGATATTCAAACGTAAATCAACATCTAAAATGACTGTTATCTCCCTGTTCTGCAGTTTTGGACAATCCCAAAAAATATGTGTATGATCCTCAATCATTTCACAGCCTCCCCAGCATCATGGTGAGGACCCTTCAGAAAACACCTAACCTTAACTTTCAGGTCATTTGCTTCCAACTCCCATTTTTCTTTAATATAATAGATATTTCCTGAATTG